ATTTTTAATTTAAAAAATGAAGAAAATATACTTGTGTCAACACAAACCCTGGCTGTGTTCATAACAAATGGATAACTTAATTCTATTTGGAAATAAGAGCTCTGTGAAAAATAATATAATAATTATGAGGCAGATTAACCCCAAGGATAGAAATGTGATTTAATCAAAGAGATGCATTGCATTTATTTTCAGAATAAAATTTCTTCTATTTCCCTGTTAATGACCATTAGTCTGTTTATATTTGTAGGGTTATAAATATCATCCTGGCTGTTTTCTGGTCCTTAATGGGTAATTTTAGGTGGTATTAACTATTGTGGATGAATTCCCCATTTAGATTTCACTCTGCATGATGATGGTGGTCAGGAAATGACCTCTGTTATGTGTCAGTGGTGGCCTCACACTGTGCTGTGGCTTTGCACAGGTGACCACATTTAACCTGCACATCCACATCAAGAGGGAGATGCTACTATGCTGATTTTACAGATGAGAATGTTGACATTCAGAGGTGGCTGTCAAAGCTGCACAAAATATAGATCCATTTTTGTATGACACTAGAATCTGAGTTCTTTCTACTACATTACACTCCCTGAAATTAACAAACATATTCTGAAATCTTCCACCTCAGGTAACTTATGACACTAAAGTGGAGACAGATTTTGAAATGTGTTTCTAATAACAGATTTTTTAAAATGCAAGTTTTCTTTCAAGTGGCTGATGTATTTAAAAAATTGGTTGCCACATTAATGACAAATACTGAAAATAGAGAATTTGCGTAAAGGTAAAGAGACCTCAATGCCTCTTGTTGACCCATATCTAATTGGAAATAAAAATGCCTTTAGTTGTCACAGAACAACTACAGGACTTAGAATGAGATAATAACAATGGAGGTCATTCTCAAACTTTAGCATTGTTCTGAACATCTGGGGAGTTTACAAAAGAGACTAATTTCTGCATTTATGTGAGAAGTTCTGATTCAGCAGGTCTGGGGCGGGGGAGTGTCCAGGAATTGGCATTTTCAACCTCTGATCCCTAGGTGAGTCTGATTCAGGTGATCCAAAGACCACACCTCAGAAAACACCAGACAGGACAAGTATCAGAGATTGAAGCATTTTCCTAAAGAATTATGGACAGACTCATGTGGTTCCAGGTTCAGGCTGAAATGCTACGTTGCATCCTGAACATGTCTAGCTGAAGAGGTTGGGTTGTTTGCCTCGCCTCCTCCGCACCTCAAACCCCAGCACATGGTCAGTGTAGCCATGAAGGTGGAGAATACAGGTGTGAAGCCCATTCCCAAAAAAATTATTTTTGGGGAATATGCCAAGGAATTGGTAGGAGTCACTGAGTAGATGTTCTGCTTTTGGAAATTGATCAACTCGAGCCAATTTTAATTTGACTTTGTATTTCACTGATTTGTATTTTAATAACACAAAACAATGTCTAATCTCAAATGGGGAAGCACAAGATTTTTCTGAGCAAAAAAATCAAACATGCTAGCAAGATTATTTCATAACACTTTGCCAATAAAGATGAACATCCTTCCTGAATTTATTTTATTTAAAAGAATTCCAAATTTTTTAGAACAGGAAGGATACAGTTGGGTAAACTTAGAGAAAGTTGAAGTGTCGACATAAAATCAAGCGGGGAAAGTGCCTGTTTGCTTTGTGGGGTGCACATGGCTTTAGAGATGGGATTTTAGCCTGATGATGATGATTCCATTGCCTGGAATCAAGAATGACTCAAGAGAGAGCCCATATGAGCAAGAACTTGTTTTCAAGGGGTCCTCTAGTCCCAAGACAGTTGCCTTTATGACCCTTGCCTTCCTGGGGAGCCACGCTGCCCTTTACTGTTCAGAGTTTGCCCACATTGTCCAGGGCACCTGGCTCAGTGGAAAGCATCGACTTGGGGTTGGCAGACCTGTGTTTAAGTTCCAGCCTGGCCACTTAGCAGGTTTTTGCCCTTTGAGCAGGGCACATAACCTCTATGAGCACTTGTTTCCTCATTTTAACAATAGAAATAATGAATAATTAATTTATAAAATTCATAGGGCAAGTGTGCAACCTGAAATAAAATGTCGTAGGTATGGAAGCTTTATAAATATTAGACATAATGTGTGTATATGGGACATTATTAAATAATGACTAATAATAATGATACTTATAACAATTATTGTGACAATGCCCAGAACAGTATTAATTTGTTCTTTTTTTCCCCCCTGTGAACCAGGGACTAGAGATAAAAGATTCTCTTTCAAAGAGCAGACCTCAAAACAGGTCGTATCATAATCCAAAAAGGAATAGCCATGAGAGGTTTGCCTATTCTTTTACTGGAGGCAGAGTGGTCTGCGTGATCTTCCGTGAGTGGGGGGATAGTGGGCTCCCCAGCAGTGCTGTCATTAATGGGATTCGTCAGATGTCACTGTTCTTCAGAAGCAGATGTTGCCTTTTGCTGTTACCTCTTTGGGGAGTGTGCAGACAAGTGATATGTTGGCAAATAAGAGCTCCAGGGAAAACAAACAACTTTGGGCAGGAAATGAAGAACCAGGTGATTTTAAGCAAGGTTTATTTCATGACAGCACATGGATGGGTTTTGATCTCTTTAAATGTATATTCTGTCCACAAATAACCAGGTAAAAGAAAGGTTATACAATTTACAAAATGCAGGGTGTGCTCAAGTGGGCATGTCATGTAGGCAATTTCTATAAAAGAGAAAAATGACAATTTCAAGTAAAACTGTGAAACCAGGGTGAAACCATAGAGCCCAGTGATCCAGTCTCCTAAGGGTATTAGAGATTATAGTAACCAAAAATCATTAGATGGCATACTCCTCTTGGGTCATCAGGCCACCTTGTCTCCTATGTCAGTTTTGCCACACTCCTTTCTGAGCCTTTGCTCTCCCATGGGCCATCTGGTGCCATAGGCTCCTGAGATTCACACCTGCCCGTGGTGGTGGTGGTAGGAGTCAGGTTGGTGGGCCGTGCTAAGGAGGCCTTTAGGTCCCTAGATGACATTTCCATCTGGTTCACTGTGGTTCCAAGGGTAAAAATAGGGCTTCAGGCCCCATCCAGATCTCCCCTTTTCTGTTTACCTTGGGAGAGCAATGACTGGGATCTGGGTCTGCCCATAATATTATCATAACACCATCAAAAGTGCCTAAGTTCTGAACATTATCCATTAAAGCAGGTATTATTGTTGATTTAATCACTCCCATGTTTGTGTGATTGTTTCTAATTCTCACCATTGTGAATTGTCTTTTGTTCATAAAGATTCCCCCCCACTCTATTTTAGATTATTTTCTTGTATAAATTATAGGAAATGGACTTACTGTATTCACGAAGTTGAACAATTTCATGGCTTTAAATGCACGGGACCAAATTACTATTTAAAATGAGTGGACCGATGTATCCTAACATTTATGCAAATGCAAATTTCACTCATTCTATCCCTCACCATTTTTAAAATATATAGGGGAAATAATAATCAGAATTATTAATCTCTTCTTTTCAATAACTTTTATTTACTTGAATATAAAGGAAGAGTGAGTTAAACTTTTTTTAAGAAAGCTATTCCTCTATATTATAATTTTTCTTTAGATTTTTCTTTTAGAGATTCCTTTGGCTAGCCATAAACAAAAGGTAAATCATTATTCTTTGAGGATGTATTTATTAGTTTGAAAATTATAAAGTCATTGGAAGCCCCAAGTGACACACAAAATGGAGAAGTTGGGTAAAACAATGTTTTAAACCCACAAATCACCTATAATTATAACGTAATGACTGATTTTTTGTGTGTGACTTAGAAACTATCTTTGAAGGCAATTCTAAAAAAAGACATTCAAGATGTGTTTGGAGCAACTCTATTGAACAGAGATGTATTAAAATTATTAATACATTTTTCATTTTGTACTTCTTTGTAGGGTGAGGCTTATCATTTTCAAATGTAGGTATTCATTGCCATGGCAAATATTAGAATTATTTATTATACCAAGAATGCAGAAAGAGAGGCAAGCTTTTGACTTTCAAAATTGAGAATTATAGTTCACTGTGAGGCTTTATTGGGAGAGAAAATAACTTAATTTCTAATTCCCAGAATCCTTCCCTAGTATGTCAAGAACAAACTTGGAGGACTAAACATATTCTTTTACTCTGTTGTGAGGATAGAGAATATGACATGAAGGAAGTTGCAGTCAGAGAGGAAGGGGCAGTAGGAAGCCCTCTCTCTGCTGGAGGAAGACAGAGGAAGAGTAGGACAGAGAGTTTAGCTGTGAGTGTCCCATTTGTCTCTAACAACATTCCAGGGATGAGACAGAGGAACATGAAGCAAGGAGCTTAAAAACCTACAGTTGTGGGGGTTCACACCTTACTTTTCAGGAGAACTGACAGCATCATAAAGAACTCCACATTCAACATGGTACTGGAGCAAGACGGTGCTAGATATCTCTAGATTAGATGTAGGGAGATGTTCAGTGCATGGGCCTGAGACAGTCCCTGCTCCATGCATGTCTTATGCAGTGGTGTGAAGGTGTCACGGGCTTCAGTGAACTGGCAGAAACCTGGAGTCTGGACATAGAAATCTCAGAGGGGTGCTTATGACTGGGAGCAAATGCAGTGAAGCCTGGAACTCAGCAGCGAGTAATCACAAAATATTCCCAAGAGACCATGAAGAATTAACCACACATTAGTGGACACCAAAACAGAGCCCTATTAGATGGGCTGCTCACATCAGAGACCAGTGGTTTTCATAGCAAAGATTGGGGACTAGATGTCCTCACCCTGGCACCATGACATTTCCTCTTGTGAACAGATCACCAAGTGAGATTCCTAACATTTTGTTATTGCATTTTCCTATTGCACTAATATCACTGGAGTAAGTATTATCTTTTCACAAAGTGAATACTTTGAGTGGGACCCCACTCTTTCAGATTTATATGTATTGTTATGTTTATTAAAATGACTGTTACTCTATTTTGGTCATATCTGGAGTGTGTTTGTGTCCTTTACTCACCTGATTCTCTTTCAGTGTTATCTGTCCCTGTTCCTTACACCCAATGAAGGTTCTAACACATCTAAAAATCTTCTCATTTTCTTGTACTCTCTGGACAAAGTTGGCTGGAAAGAAGCCAATCCTGTCTTGAATTTTTCCCTGAAAGAAAAAAGGAGGCATGCATCTACAACTGTAGCATTTATTGCAATTGTAGTTACCAAATCATTTTTTTAAAGAACAAGAAATACTTACTTTCCACCAGTCTTCATTGGAATCCTCTAGAAGAGTAATAATGTCTCCTGGCCTAAAATGAAGAATGAGTTGAGTGGGGAAGTAGAGGGAGAAGAAAAAGAAAAATATGACACTTTAAAGTCAGAGGTAATAGTTTTTCATTTATACAAATAATCCTAAAATAAATAGAAATAAAATAAACATGACTGTGCCCTGTTCTTTCCACCAAAGAAAACAGTTTTGTTAAACATTGAAAGCAAGCCTAATTTCTTTCTTTTTTTTTTTATTTCAGCATATTATGGGGGTACAGATGTTTAGGTTACGTATGTTGCCCTTGCCCCCCCCCCCAAGTCTGAGTTTCAAATATGTCCATCCTTTGGGTGGTGCACATTGCACTCTTTGTGTATGCATATACCCGTCCCCTCCTCCCTCCTCCCTCCCCCCTCCCCCCTCCCCAACATTGAATAGATGTTATTCTTATATGTGCACTTATGTGTTGATCAATTAATACCAATTTGATGGTGAGTACATGTGGTGCTTGTCTTTCCATTCTTGGGATACCTCATTTAGTAGAATGCGTTCCAGCTCTATCCAGGAGTATACAAGAGGTGCTATATCACCATTGTTTCTTAAAGCTGAATAGTACTACATGGTATACATATACCACATTTTATTAATCCACTCATGTATTGATGGACACTTGGGTTGTTTCCACATCTTTGCAATTGTGAATTGTGCTGCTATAAACATTCGGGTGCAGGTGTCTTTCTTATAGAGTATCATTTGCTCTTTTGGGTAGATGCGCAGTAATGGGATTGTTGGATCAAATGGTACTTCTACCTGTATCTCCTTAAGGTATCTCCATATTGTGAAAGCAAGCATAATTTCTGTGTTGTATTTTTAAAAATAATCTTTGCCTTTATTTTGGTACATAAATGGTCAAAAAACTCCAAAACTTAGAAGCTGATAAGTTTCAAGGCGCAAGTCCCCATAATCTTCCTCCCATGCCCTGTGTGTTCTTCTAGACCCTTTTCTGTGCACCCATATTTATATAGAGATAGGTATATGTATTTTTTTGTTTAGTTTTGACTTCTAGAGTTAGTCGTTATCTTTATCATTGTCTACATCTTTTCGGTACCTTCTCAAAACCTAGTACACATTTGCTTAGCTCTACTTTCCCTGACTGCCATGTTTTATGTTGGTATAATCTGGAATTTTGTGCTAGATTTGAGTGTGTGCGTATGTGTTTATATCATTTATCAAGAATTACTTGGGTTTAGCTGAAGACTTTAACGTGTTTTCATTCTCGATGTGGTCATCGTTTGATTTTCACATGCAGATGTGTGTTTGAGAGTGTGTGGCTGTGTGCTGTAATTCCTTCTACTCAGCACTTACTGGGGCTTTTACAATCTGAAGACTCTTATTTTTCACCTTGAGAACATTTTCTCTATTATTTCTTTCACTGTTTTCTCCCATCTATTTTCTCTCTTCTTTCCTTCTGGAACTTCTAGTAAACACATGTATTTTTGGATCCATCCTCCACACCTTTTGTCTTTCTTATACATTTCCCATCTTTTACCTTTCCTATATGTTCTTAAAATTTTTCTCAATTTTATCTTCCTAATCATTTATTTTATATTTGGGCTTGTCTCTTCTATTATTTATCATAATACTGAGAATTCTGTTAGAAAAAAATTTTCAGAAAACATTTTTAGAAAAAAATTTAATTTTCAAGGGTTCTTTATTATTTTCTGAAAGTTTTCTTTCTTATTATTTCTTTATTATTTTCTGAAATATTTCTAAAAGTTGCTTTCTGTCATGGATGTAATATTATAATGGATCTTTCTGAGGATATTATATTTTTAAAAATGGTATTTCTTTCTTTTATTGAATTATTTGTTTCCTTTAGGATTAGTTGGCCCATCCTTTATCTTATTACTTCTCTTTCATGTCAAGGATTTTCTGTAGCATCTAGTGTTTCTTGGTTATCTCTTTTATTGATGACTGAAAATGGAGATGGGTGAGTGTGGACAGCAGGGCAGGCTTTTCTGCTATTATTAATAAATACCTCTGGTCTGCCATGGGTCTCTTTCCCAAGTGTGAGAGCTGTTTACAAGCTCTATTTAAGGGAACAGCATGTGTCAGTTGACTCATCTCATTTTTGGATACGTGAAAGTATAATAGGCAAGCAGTCTGGTGCCTCCTACCACTACCCCAAGGGCTGAAACAAGGAGGGTTTTCTTAACCCTGGTGACAGAGAAGGTCAGTTTATTTTCCTCCTACATAGAGCTGCCCTTCCCTTTTGTCCTTGCCCTCTAGAAGGTCTGGAAGTCTGCAATTATCTCAACACAATTCTTTCTCAGGCTTCTGTGCTCACATGGGAGCTTTCATAAGGCATGGGTTCCCTTTCTTTAGAGTATAGGTGTTGCCTGTCAAACGCAGGTTCTGTAACACATTTTCACTTCTGCCTTATTGGCCAAAGCAAGTCTCAACGCCTGTCCAGAATCAAGGGATGGGGTAAGAGGCTCCACCCCTGTTGTGAGAGCAACTGCAAAGTCTCATGGCAAAGGGCAAGAATACAGGGAGGGGTGAAGAATTGGGGCCATTAATGCAATCATCTACTACAGAGCCCTTATGCTGTTCAATTGCTCTGTGTTCAGTGTCTTTTTGAATGAATTCTGACAGCTAAAGTTGTTTTGTCCTGGGTATTCTTTAGTCTCTGGTCATCTTCATTGTGTTCTCAACTCAATTGCATTTACTGCAGTCTGCCAGGAAATTCCCAAGATTTCTGGTTCTCTCATGGCTTGCTTTCTTGTTTTCTAGTACTGTTATGGACATGTTCTTAAAAAAAGGGATTTTATGACATGTTTAGGAATTGGAGGAAAAGTAGATTTGTGTGCTCATTTTGTTATTCGGATTCAATCTCCTTTGCTGTCATTTTCAATTCTCAGTTAATATCTATCTTCGTCGGGAGTTCCAAATATAACCTTGTTACACCTGAAGCATTAAACACAACTGGCATTTTGGTATTTCAACAGTCACAGTTTCATGCTGATGCCACAGAAAGCGAGATGGCTGAAAATCACTCTTTCCCAGGTAAGGGATTTAATTAAGCAGCAAGGATGAAAGTCAATGTAGTAAAGTTTTCTAAGCTCCAGCAGATTTTATTTAACCCAGTAACCTAAGAAACGATGAGTTAGTATCAAATGCAATAATTTTGCCATTGGTTTGGTAGAAATTTTAAGCAGAGAATAAAGCTGGAGATGGGGGGAGGTACCTTTCCCTAAGGGTGAAAGAGGCTACTGCCTAGATGTGATCTCTGTGGTTAGAGTCTAGCTAGAGACTCACTGCTTACTCTCCCAGAAGTGGACAGTCCCCGAGTGCACACCCCGGGTTGCTAAACTGCACATTAGAATAAGGCACTCCCTGGAATACGAGCTGTGATTTTATGAGAAATAATAGACTCACTCCTGAAGGTGCGATGACGATTCTGTCTTTTCCCATAAAAGAGCTCTACCAGGGTCAGGAAATTTGCTTGGTGAGTGAGGAGAGTTAAAGTCATCCATTTATTCTTTCCTTTGTTTTTTGTTTACCCACTCACTTGACAAATATTTATAAAATGCAGGTTCTGAAAAAATGCCATCTTACTAGGCATTGGGCTTATTTTGGTGAATAGAATCCTTATTGGAGCTAATATTTTAGTGAGAACAATAGATAATAAACAAGTAAATAGATAATAAAACATTTAATAACTGTATAAAGAAGAACATATAATATGTATGTATAATTAATAAATATATAATTGCAAGTTGGCTAAGGGCTATGCAGGAAATAAAAAGATGTAGCCCAACAGAGCCAGTAGACAGACTCCTCCTAAGATTAGTCAAATACTCTAAGCATCTGGCAGTGCTAGCTAATGCCTCTTTTCCACTGCAGGGAGGATCTTGCTCTAGGGTAGCTCTTGAATACAAAATACCAACTCTCTAACATCTGGTCCAGTAAACCCATGGCTTGTAGTGTTTACTCTGCCCCCATGTCCATCCAGGCACCTCCCTATAATCCAGTCTCAGCTCTCTTTCCCATTGAGCCTGGAATCAGAATCCTTTTCAACACTAAGCTCCAGGGTTCACTCTTAGCTGTCCCTCTGCCTCCCTCATTTCTCAGTTTTTCACATGGGCATTAGAACCCATCTCTTCCCCCACCAGGTAAACTGGCTTCAGGGTCTCCACAGGCAAAGTGTGCGCAGAGCTCACGAATGATGCAAGCTAAGCCCAGCCAGCTATATGGAACTCTTCTGCAAGGTGTTGCAAGGATGGTTTGGTCTTCTATGGCTGGGGGCTCTTGGAGGGAGGAATGCGAGTTGTCCTGCCCAGCCTCTCTCCATTCCCAAGGTAAAGCACAGATTCCTAGGAGGGGAGACACTGCCATCCTCCTGATGAGGTCACTGCTTCCAAAAAACACCTTCTCCACTGCCTGAGACAATCTGAGACCTCAGACTGGCCCTCCTTTGAGAAGTACAAGGTCAAAGCAGGATGCCCTTCTTTGTTTTCTGAATATTTTGGAATTCGAAGACCATTTGCTTTTCCTTACTCCTCCATCTCTGCCCATTTAGCCTATGAATATTATATGACATTCCAGTATATTATGACTGCTTACTAACTTTTAGTTATTGGGTAATATAAGATGGAAAGATTTCTTTAAGCCTCTATTTTCTTACCTGTACGGTGAGTATAATAGCACTTACCTCATCAATAGTTTTTGAGGACTAAATGAGGTAATACTTACAAAGCACATTTAGATACGCCTACAATAGACACAATAGACAGTGGCTATTACTGTTAAGACATAATTACTGCCCTCCAGATGTCAGTAATGAGGAGAAATACAGTAAGTTGGTAATTTACAGTAAGCCTTATCTCTGAATGAACAGTAGATGCTGCTGGGGGTGGGGATGGGGGTGGAGGGAAGGGCGCACAAACAAGTATGGAATTGATCCCAAATGAAAATCTCAAACACATGCCTCTTTGAGTCTCGGCTACCTCTATTATATCCATATACTTATACATTATGCAT